AAACCAACTCACATAAAAAAACTTTTCAGTTTAAGATACTACCACTAATCACTCAAGCACCATGGTACGTGAACAATCACACTTTACACACCGACCTACAGTTCCGACAGTCAATGAACACATACGAACGTACTACAAACGATTTGATAACATGTTAAACGGGCACTCCAATCAGCTGGTAAAAGAAATGGCCACAACTAGTATGCCCGAGAACTCCAGAAGACGACTAAAAAGGGTCTGGATGAGGGATCTGCTTAAATAATGTTAGTAAATAACCGCTGGGTATTGCTATTCCTCATGCCTATCAAGCCTTTTTATTTATTTTTTTTTTCTCTCATTATTACGCCAGCACATCTGCTGATTGTCAATAATAATTGACAGGTGCCAATAAATATATGTAAGTGAAAAAAAAAAATAGGTGCTAAAAATTCATGAATATCCATTTCACTTCCTTCCACTGCTATCCACAAGAATCGTAAAATAATATGAACACAAAATGAAAAAAAAAAAAGCTGGCAAAAATATTGGTCCATTTGGCGTGGCCTTCGCCCTCAAAATGTCAACGTAATAAGGTTATATAGGCCAAACGGACCAATATTTTTGTAGGGCATATTTTTTTTTCCGATTTCGTGATCATATTATCTTACGATTCAATTGGAAAGCTAATGGCTATTCATGAGTTTTTAGTGACTAATTAAATTGATAAAGTTGGCCGGTCTGCAGATTTGAAATCACCGCCATTCCAAGAATTTTCGTAAATAAAATATTTGTGGGTTACGATGAGATGAAGCTATTTACGAAGTATCAGGCGGTTAATAATTTGATAAAAAAAAGGCCTGCACCACGGACTATTGCTAATGATTCACAAAGTCATGTAATAATTATTATATTTGATTATAATAATTATTGTACAATGATTTAATAATTATATCAATTTAAAAATTTATAAATGCCTGATTTATAAATACTAATATAAATTGATTTTCGATGTTCGCTTATTCGATTAAAAATAATGATCACAAACGGCTTTACATCAATAATAATGAATAAATTGTGATAATAATAAAGAAAATAAAAATCACCTTTTACACTAAATTAAAATAAATATTAATATTTATGTATACGTTATTAATGCCTTTAGGTATTTTCGACACAGGCCAGTTTCTTCCTTACTGGGTATTCTGTAGAGAGTTTTCCTCTTGAAGTAAGGACTTTTTATCTCCTTTAATTTTGACTCTTTGTTCCCACGTATAGCCTTAAAGGCGAGGAAGGCGAGGACAAAAAAAAAAATAAAGAAAATAGTTCTCACTTTGTTGGCCACATTTCCAAATTTGGTTTCCTATTTTTGTTTTTTATGAAATCTTTTCTTAGGATTTTGTTTTTTGTTGTTACCGGAAACATTTCTTCACAAACAAACCAGGTTATATTAATAAATAAGTATTTATATTTGTTAACATATTTATATTTAATTATAGCCAAATAATATCGATAATTTTATACATTATAAAAGGAAATGCGCTGTAATGCACTTAATATTATACAGTCACACGCTGAGAGCGTGTCAAATGTAAAACATAACTGCAATGCAAACTAAATATGTACCAATAACATCCATCTTATAATTAATTATATTTGCTTATTCCATCCTAATCAGGAATGTGCATTTAACATGAGGAGATCCTTGTTTACATGTCAATATAGCAATAGTCCATATCTTTACACAGAATATTTTAACAAATCAAAACAATAGCATTCAATTAATGGATACTTAACTTAAACAATTTTAAATTTCAAATATAAATCAATTTTTTCTTATAGCTCTGTTTAGAAATCTAAAAATTGACACCCAATGGACAATTAAATCCCAATAGTAGTTTGATAATAGAATAATAGAATTCTTGTTTTCTGAGGTTAGTTTTGTTCGGATTCATTGATATTGATGGAACCACAGCTCCTTGGAGAATTCTACAAATCAGGATTATATGACATTTGGAGACATTACCAAATCAAATTTCAAAGTTTTGGATATAGGTCTATTAAATACAGAACTAATCGATGATCTAAAAATTAAAATTTTAATTCTCTACAAAGCTGAATATGGGTGGGCTATGTGGAATAAAAACAGAATACCTCAAATCAAGTCAAGTCAAAATTTTAGAAAAATTTACCAAAATAACGTATTGACACTGCATAGAGAACAAAGATTTTCATAGCAACACGTTATAAATTTCGCGTTTCGGAAATTAATCATCCAAACATAATTACCTGTACCACTAGAACCCATGAAGGGTCTTAGTTTCAATAATATTTAGGGAAAGCACTCTTTCTTGGTTTACGGTTGTGGAAGGAGATGATTTGACTGAGATCACGCAAAACTGCCTAGGTTTCCCTCTTAATTAATTATTTTAATTAAGGGTACCCATTTTGTAGAGGCTGTGCTCCAGGAGGGTCTACCTACCCAGAGTCGCCCCACGGGCAATGAAAGAGAATAAATAAATTTTCTGCCATGAGCTGGGATTCGAACCTGGGACCTTTAGCATTGGAAGCTCAGAACCCTACCACTGAGCTACCCCACTTCCCCAAACATAATTATCCCACTTATCCCAATATTTTCGTCGTTGAAAATTTTTTTTTCTATTACATATATTTTTGTTGATAAATAGATAGATAAAATTCTGTATTTTGTAAAGAACATTTACAGGAAGTCAATTACCAATAATTTATTAAAAATATACTAGATATTAAAATAATAAATAAGATACAGGCCAAACTCAAAATAAAATATCAATAACATTGATGGTAATATATACCACCCATAATACCACACAATAATTATATGTTTACATAACTGGCATAATAAATAATATAATCAGATTTCAAGATGGGTCTTAGCCCAGAAGCTAAGTGGAAATTCCTCTATGATCAAATATGGATACTAAGGTCATGGTGTAGGGTTTTATTACAAACGATAATAGGTTTTTTTTTCTCTCTCTCTAGAGTCATTCTCTCCCTCAAACTTCCTATTCATACAAAATAAAGGACCTGATTTTGAGAACCTCTCCAATAAACCGAAAGAGTTCGAATATTATATCCTTATGAGATGATGGAAGTAACAGTGCCAGTTTACTCTCATCATTCGCTATTTTAATGTCCTGAAGAAAACCTGTACATGTTTCATTCGATAAGAATATGAGCGAGCGTTTCAGGTATTTTCAAGTTGCATGCGGGGCAATACACCTCAGTGGATATGTGGGCACACCACGTATCTTTATATAAGCTAAAACATTAAAGAAAATATTTTTTGGAATCGTTTTAAATAGTAATAAGACACATATATATCATTAAAGAATGAATAAAATTCATCACATTTTCTCTTCCAACAGTTATCAGTAAATGATTTCGCTAGCGAGAAATTCATTTTCGCCATCTTCATGAAACCATGAGCTGCTCAGTTAGTTGTACACTACTATATTTTTTATTACTGCGATGCGAAAATAGTGTAGATTTCCACCATTGCTATGATTTAAAATCAATTGTATAAACAAATCAAATCCTAAGCATTCATTATTTATATATTGGGGGTACCCAGAAGGAAATTCCATGGCGCAAGCTGCATAAAAATATTTGCATAAAAATATTGCATAAAATATTTGCAAGGACATATCTAGAGGGACAGATTGCAATTAATATTTATTAATTGTAATCTGTCATTATTATATAGACCTCTAATCATAGCTCGCGTAGACATCGCACTGGAGGAAACGAGAAATTTCCACAATTAAAAAAAAACATATAATTTTTATTATATTTAATCTATATATAATATTTTTTTTTATAAAAACCCTTTTTGATCTCACAGTCTTTTATTACAGTTTTAAAACATTTTTACAATATTTACAAATTATTATTTTTTAACGTTTCTGCTCCAAGAGCCATTTTCAAAAGTTCTTATTCTTAAAAAAAACAAAAAAACATTAATCATATCAAAAACATTATTACTAAAATTTTCTTAAAATATATCTGTACATATAGTAGTCCTTGTTTTATATGCAAAATGCTTAGTTTTATTTTTATTCCGAAAATCGACAAAATTCTCTTCTTTTTCTCATTTTATCAAAAACTTAATCCTGTTTCAACACTCCTTTTAATGTAATAATTTAAAACAAACTTTTTAGAAAAAAAAAAAAACACTTTCATTTCACAAATGTTACTTGGAGCGGAAACGTTAAAAATAATAATTTTTAAATAATTTAAAAATGTTTTAAAACTGTATTAAAATACTGTGAGATTAAAAAGGAGCTTTGTAAAAAAATAATCATATATAGATTAAATATAATAATTATTAAAAAAACTCACAAAAAAATTAATAACGTAAAGAAGGTTGTCTATCATAAATAAAAGTTATATCACTCATAAAATGGTTTTGGTTTTTAATTAGTTAATCGAAGTTTAACGGCATCCTGATTCGAGCATATCATTGAACAACCTTTGATAAAGATATTTTACATTCTTATCAGACATTGAATCCAGGTAACATTACGGGTTGTAATCATGCAGTTTATTTAAAACTGATATCAGACGACGAAAGATTAAAAACTGTATTGTTGTTGGAATAATCTAACAATTGGAAATAATCTAACTGTATTAGAAATAATAGCAGTTTGTTAAAAACTTAAAAAAAAAAAAATAGAATATGTAAAATATTTGTACAATCCGATAATTTATGGCTGGTGAATCCGGTAAAAATGGTGAATTTATGATTATTATCGTCCAGTTTGAAGTATTTGGAAAAATATTAACATCCAAACTTGTTCGATATTAAACAGTATTATTTAACCATTATTCCATAATCTTTATATGCTAACTGATGAGAATATATTTATACTGTTTATTTAATACATGGTATATCGTAATTAATATTTAAAATTTTATACCGAATGCAATAATGTAATTGGAGGTTACTTTTAGGAAAGTGATTACTTTTAAATTTTTGGTTAGATAATTAAAGTACTAAATAAATAAATGACGATTTATATCAACTAATAACGTTGGAGTGCTTTCGACTGCTTATAAAACAGTTCACTCAGTTTATCAGTATCGTCCAACGCCTCGCCACAAGCGTGAGTAAAAATTTTTTTAAATTTTAAACTTGAAACACTTATATATTTTTGCTTCAAGATATTATAACCTGTTTGTATATTTTTTTAAATTTGAAATAAGATGGAAAAAATATTTAAAACCTGGTTTGAGAGATTATTAATTACGGTTTTTATAAGTTTCGTATATTGGCGCAATTTGTTAAGTTTGTTAAGATACATTAATTAATTAATTTATGTACTAAACTAAAATGTATTATATCTAAAATATACATTAACCAATTTTTCTTTAAATTTAATGTTTTAATAATAAATCTTATTTTTGTAAGTAAGAAATCACGTTTTTGTGATTTACAGACTTTTAAGAATCTTGTGAAATTAAAAGGACCAATTTATTGGAAGGGTAGATTAGATATATAATTAATAGATGAAATTGATTTTCTTCTCTTTCATAACCATATTTCTAAGTGTTTACAGATCCCATTTCATGTAGAAAATTACACATACAAAATGTATGAAATTGATATAATCTAGTCATTTGGGAAGATCTGATTTTGTTTTTTTTTTCATTATATATGTTTAATATTTCCATACTTCCGCTTTTACTTCGAGTGTTTCAAGATATTATTTCTTAAAATAACTGCATTTTGAAATAATTAAAAGAACCAATATGTATAAATTATAAGCTATTTAATATCAGACATTGTTGATAAAAACAATTATTATTAATAAAGTAAATCTATGTATTTATTCAAAAATATTTTTTAGACTGGTCTTCATAGTCTTATGGTTAATAGGTTATATATCTAGGAAAAAGATATATGAATGGCCTTATATCAAAGACGGACCAGAAAAAGGTGAAAAAGTCAATTTTTGTTTTATAGATTCAATTCAAACTGTATCTGATGATTATATTAAATAATGTTGAAGTTAAATCATGAAAAAAAATTAATTAGAATTGGGTTAAATTAAAGTTATGTTTCGAAAATTGATTTTACCTCAACATTTAAAAAATGGCAGCTGTCCGTCATTGATATAAAATAAGTTAGGAAGTTCAAATAGTTTTGTTATTAATCACAAGATTAAAATCACAGAGAATTTTAAAGGTTTTTTTTTCAAAAGTGGGCTAATCAAAGTTATATTGATTTAGTTGATACTGTTATCAGTGATCGATTGGACGACCCATTTCACACCTGAAAGGTATTTTGATTTAAAACACATTTTCGAAATTAAATCTGCCTTTGAATATCTTAATGGATCAATAATAATTAAGCTCGAAATTACTAAAACCTCTTTATAATATTCCAATAATATTTACGCAATTTATTTTAGCCTGTTAGTTTGTTTTATGTAATAAATTATGAAACGGTTGCGTTTAAAATTTTTACAAACAACACTAAAAACATCAAAAGCTGAAAAAAAATCAAGCGAAGATAATAGATAAATAATTTTTTCAAAATAAAATTGTAGGGCATATTTTTTTTCCGATTTCGTGATCATATTATCTTACGATTCAATTAATTATTTATATAATAAATCTAATTATAATTTGAATGATCTAATGAAAAATAGAATATAACAGAAAAAACAACTTTGTTCCTAAGTCCCTTAAGAATAACGATGGTGCACAATAATGACAAATAAAGATTAATTATGGCTATAAGACCGGTTACATATGTCACTATATTTAACTTATAAAATATGTACATACTTATTTAAGATGTATTAAAAACAACAAATAAATAAATAAGACTGAAAAGAAAATTTAAATTAGTCTTATATATTAAATATCTCAGCTATAATGAATATACAAATTGATTTACATCTGTTATTAAAAACAAATTAAATGAATATATAAAACTGTACAGTGAAAAAAAAAAACTAATATATGTATACTTAAAGACGTAAGTTAAAAATAGTATAGTCAGAAGTTTATTCAAGATTACAAAAAATGAAACCTATCTCAAAGATCTTACAACACACTCTTCAACAAAATAAAAAAAAAAACACAACAATTTATTCGTCACATTAAAAATACTAAAATATATATTCTGAGACAGATTGTAACATTTCTCAATAAAATGTTGTTAAAAAAAAAATTAAAGAAATTTATATATATATATATATATATATATATATATATATATATATATATATATATATATATTGATAAAATTAAATGAAACGTATAAAGAAAAGTGAGAACTTTGTCAAATAATACATAATTAGCTAGCGTCTGATCGGTCTGGAAAGAGGAATTGGAATAGGAGTGTTTTAAATGTGGATAAGGAGGGAGGATATAAGAGGAATGTAATTCCCAAAACAGGTAGAACAGGCAATAAAAGTGTTAAAATGAGGCAGATCTGTGAATTGGGGTGTAGAGGTTAGAAGGACGAGATCTTGTGGTTGCGGCTTTTGATTATTTGGTAAAAGATTGTGCTTAAAGTATTGTCTAACTCAGCGTAGATGTGAGAAACAAGGAAACGTTTCGGGGCCTATTGATTGACGAATTTCAATAATCTTATTATAATTTGTCTACGCCTGCCTACGAGTTCATCCTAGAGACCACCGTACACCACTCATCCTTAGCCATAATGGCCAAGTCTGGAAAGGATGACTTCTTATTTTGTAATCATGGGTGTCCAGAAGGGTGTTTCAAGTTGCGTTATCAAAATTTTTGAGTAGAGCGTATTTCGATGTGGTTATGAATTTTCGAACTAAGTGACAAGGGAAAAACATGGAACAGGCCCCGCAGCACGTGTAATTGAATATCATCTAAGATTTTTCTAATTCTACCTTAGCGTGTTCTGTTTTTAAGGAAAGATTAGCAATAAAATATCTTGGGAGAACGGACAGGTAAGTTTTTGCGCCGTGGACCTTAGTGGACATCGGTTCGTAATCATTGGAAACGGACTATTTTCAACTATTAGCACATAAGAAGATATTCTACGCGTTTTGGCTAGAAAATTGCCCAAATGAACATTGGTCTTTTCTTATATTTTCCTAGTTGTTAGCGTCATTTTTAACAATTAACTGCATTATTTTGAACAACGATTCTTGCAAGAGTTACTGGGTAAAATCACTATATTAGAAACCAGCGTAAAATAAACTGAACTGCGAAATCTGAACATTTATTGATTAATTATTGGTTGTGTTTCAGATGGCGTTATTGCCGCTACTGATATCTTGCCTCCTGGCAAGTGCTCAAACTGCGGACAATTTCTATTGGTACAAGGATTCTGTTGTTTATCAATTATACGTCCGTTCCTTCCAGGATACTAACGGCGACGGCATTGGAGATTTGAAGGGTTGGTAAAAATATCAAGTTAAAAAATGACACTTTTATAAAATGATTTTATGCAATGATGAATTTATGAATTGTTAACACAGGTGTGATACAGCATGCTGATTATCTCAAATCATTGGGTATCGGTGCTGTATGGCTTTCACCGATTTACCCTAGTCCAAATTATGATTACGGTTATGATATTGCTGATATGGAAAATGTAAATCCAGAATACGGAACACTGGAAGATTTCAATGAACTGGTGAAAGAAATGAAAGCTAGAGGTATTTATTAATTATATAATTAACCTATTGAATTCAAATGATTTCAACATAATTTCATTCATTCTTTAATTTTTGTTATTATTTTTTCAGGAATTAGAGTTATAATGGATTTTGTACCCAATCATACAAGCATAAAGCATGGATGGTTTCTTGCTTCTGAAGCCAGGAACGATACTGATGAAGCATATTCTGAGTTCTATATATGGAAGGACCCAAGCGGATATGATGGCAACAATAAACCATTGCCGCCCAACAATTGGGTAAGATAGTCTAATTGAGTAGCGAATGGTTCCAAGTTTGTAGCAAAGGATCATTATTTATTTCTCCTAGCATTGAAGTCTAAACAATTTATTGTGGCCTGGTTTCTTCTGTTTCTCTCTAGGATATGAAATTCCTAGAAATTTATTGCTTAGTATTTTGACAGTCGTATTTATACGTTTTCTTGTCTAAGATTAACATCTGGTGATGTTCAATATATGAGACAATACTGCACTTTAAGCATGCGTCAACACACAGAATCTGTTAGATACTTAAATTTTGTCTTTATCTAAACATCTATATCCACAACATCTATATCCACTTCTTTGTACCTGATTACATTTCCTTTTTTCCATTTTAGCTGAGTGTTATGGGCACTGGATCTGCTTGGCAATGGAGTGAAAAAAGGAAACAGTTTTATCTGCATTCCTTTTTGGTTGAACAAGCAGATCTCAACTACGACAACCCTATAGTGAGGAAAAAAATGAACGTAAGTAAATTGTTATTTGTTTTTAACTAGATGAAAATAATTATTATCAAATATACCAAATTACTAAACTGATTATACATATGTACAGAATGTTCTTAAACTATGGATGAACAGAGGAGTCAGTGGATTCCGAATGGATGCTGTTAGCTGGATTTATGACGACCTGGCATGTGGGAATGAACCTACTTCAGATCACCCAAACCCAAACAACCCTAACGATTATGGTAACCTAAATCACATCTGTACAATGGATCAACCAGAAACCTACGCAATCATTAAAGAATTCAGAAAAACTCTTGACACTTTCGAAGACTACATTAAGCAGAAAGAGGCTAAGTAAGTAAGATTTATGAATTTGATTTATATAAATATATTTGTTAATTATCTGCAGATCGACTTAGTGAACCATACATGGACATATTAACAATAAGTCAATTTTTAACATTTGGCTAAGTGAGGGTATAGTCTCATACAAAAAACACCCCTAGCGATACATGTTGCCTATAAACTTTGGGCTATTGAAGTTTGTAGAATTTCATTAATAATAATGCAATAAATAATTTTTTTTATTTATTTATTTTTTATATTTTTTATTCGTATTCGCCTCTCTACCTTAAAGGATCATTGGCAGTATGTTGGCGGTATAAAAAAAAAAAAATAATAATAATGTTTAAGAAAAGTATAAAATAAATAATAAATTAAAAAAAAAAATTAATGTATATATATATATATATATATATATATATATATATATATATATATATATATATATATACGTGTATATAAATAAAATGAATTTGATTAAAAGTATAATATTTGGTAAAGTAATCTATGATATTATTAAATAATATAAAATTTAATGATATAATCTTTGTACAGAATGATTTTGTTTTTAAAATATCCGCTTTTTTTATACATGTATTGTTCTAAGTTTGTTAACTATGGGTTTTTCCGCCAATGCCCATTATCTTGCTAAAAATCAAAATAATGCAGTAACTATTCATTCACTTTATAACTGTTATCCTCGTCAGAAATTATTTTGCGGTCATAGGCTAGTATTAGTAATTTTATAAGCGGTATATTTAAGGGCAGAACAAGTTAATCACATCTGTAGGATAACCGTCTTTCCTATTTTAGTTAGAGTATATGAGGAAGTTTGGCCCAAATAAACCAACAAATATTTAAGTACGAGGCTATGATGGCCGAGGTTGTTAAGGCATCAACTTAGCAGCATCGACTCAGAAGAGGCACCGGCCTGGGTAGGTAGAAACAGAAATAGTGGATGGAGTGAATGCACTGCCCTACAAAAAAAATTTGTTTACGTGTATCTTCGTATATAACTGCCAGCAAAATGGTTCTTTGATTCACAGCTAGTCATTTCCCAGGCAGAAATCAATACTACCAACCCAGGAGCAGGAAATTTATCATTAAACAAAAAGTAACTATATCTTTGAAACTAGAGCTAAATGATGATTTTTATGTGGAAATTTGAATTTCTCACACCAAAGAACATGGAAGGAGACTGTTTTCAAGTTAGATGCAATATAAATGTAGAGCAGTTATGTCGATCTTCTCACTCCAGCTAAAATAAGTCGGTTAGCTGTTGGAGATCCCTTCCTTTCTGTTACGGTCGGTAAACATAAGAACGTTAAGCAAATATTAATGATGTGATATAATGTAATGTGTTATCATAATTAACAATGCCATTTAAATGCCAGGCTCATGATGACGGAAAGTTATTCGGACTTCAACGCAGTTGTGAAGTATTACGGAGACAAAAATTCTCCTGGATCTACCTTCCCCTTCAATTTCTTCTTAATCACCCATGTTAACCAAGGAAGTAACACTTCTGAATGGGCAAACATAATTACGCAGTGGGTGAACCTCATCAATGAAGATAAATGGCCCAACTGGGTGGTAAGTAACAATATTGTTACACTTATTTAAAGAATAAGCTAGTATGAAAACATAAACATAATTGATGGTTTATTATTGGAAAAATTAAAATCCGAAATTCAGGCAAAGCAAAATCTGTCAACATTTCGCCAATTCAGGTATCATCAGCTATTTTTCTGTAATAATGATGCCTGAATTGGCGAAACGTTGACGGGTTTTTCTTTGCCTGAATTTTGGAGACATAACGCTGAGTGTTTTGGAATTTTTCAAAAATAACTTAATATTTAAGTTCGGTCTCTTGAATATTTCGTTACTAACATAGACATAATAATTTATTTTTAATATGAGGAGTTGACGGGGGAGGGAGGGGGGAGTACGGTCAAATAAATACTAAATTATAGAAAAAGTATTATTAAATTCATTATGCTGACGTTTCGACCCACCTTGCAGGTCTTCATCAGGGCTTCAAAAGATACAAAATATAAAAGGTACATGATGAAAATAAAATAAATGAATAATAAGTAGATATTAAATAAGAAAAAGTTGTCTGAAAAAAACATAATAATAAGATGATATCAGAGATATAGTGGGTGACAATGTAGTTAGAATATTAAGTATTATATATATATAGAAGATACAAACAAAAATAGAAAATAAGTATGAATAAAAATAGAAAACAAAGAAGAATATAGTATATAAGCTAAAAGTAAACCAATTGTGATAAAATATAAGAAATGAGTGTATAGCAAACTAATAAAGATTACATTTGATAACTATAGGTTAACAGATAAAGAAAATTAATGTTAAAGAATAAGGAGATTGAAAATTGAATAAATATTGAAGCAGTAAAACTAAAATAAGAATAAGATAACATAATAATAAGATATCAGTGGATAACAAGCTAGTGGAGGTTACATTTGATAACTGTAGGTAAACAAATAACGGGACCTGCAGTTAACAAATGTAATCTTTATTAGTTTGTTATACACTCATTTCTTATATTTTATCACAATTGGTTTACTTTTAACTTACATACTATATTCTCCTTTGTTTTCTATTTTTATTCATACTTATTTTCTATTTTTGTGTGTATGTTCTATATATATAATACTTGATATTCTAACTACATTGTCACCCACTATATCCCTGATATCATCTTATTATTTCTTTATCAGACAACTTTTTCTTATTTAATATCTACTTATTATTCATTTATTTTATTTTCACCATGTACCTTTTATATTTTGTAGCTCTGATAAAGACCTGCAATGTGGGTCGAAACGTCGGCATAATAAATTAAATAATACTATTTCTAAAATTGTATAAGGTTCACAACATATTTAATGCCTTTATTGTTAAAAAATATCTGAAATATTTTCTATCTAACCAAAGCTAGGAAATCATGACCAGCACCGCTTCCCATCCAGATTCAGCGACGAGTGGGTGGACGTCCTCCACATGATGGTGATGACGCTGCCCGGAACGGTACTCACCTACAACGGCGATGAGATAGGTCTTGAAGACGCCTACGTGAGGTACGATGAAGGGAAAGATCTCCAAGGATTGAGGGCAGGGCCGAGCAGGTTCGCCGCCATGTCGAGGGACTTCGAGAGGGGTCCCATGCCTTGGAAAGCGGCCAAAAATGGAGGTGAGTTCAGATTTTAAAGAAAGCATACATTTAATGAATTTAAATTACTCCTAAAAAACGTTACAGCTGAATACCTACGCCCTAGCCTGTTTCTGGTCTTCTAGTGAGGAGTAGTGTTGAATAAATCTACATTCGCTACTTCAATGATGTCCGAAAAGCTTCCAGAATCTTGCCGCTTAAAAGCTTTAAGAGCACTCCAAGATCCATATCATTACTACCCTGATAAGTTCCAATATTCAATTTTAGAATATTTCAGAACTTGAACTATATTCATATTAGTTGCGTTTACCTATTGTAATAAATATAAATATGAATAATGTAAAAAAAGATGTAAAATGTAAACCGATATCGATCCAAGACCACTTTGAGATCCTTCTTTACTGTCATTGAAGATAATCCTTTCAGCGGCTATACTTCCTCACTATCTCAGATTTGGTATATAGCTCCTTCTTCTTAGACTTAATTTAGAAGTAGTACCAAAGATCTTATCGGAATATAGGTCATAAATATTTCCGTTTATCTTTTCTTCTCATCCTCAAGAGAAACAAATGAAAAGTTGAAAAAAGTTTATAAAGCATAATACTAATTATTTATAATGTTCACTAGCACATCTTGGTCCTCTTCTTTTTCTTTTTTTACTTTTTTTATTGTGTTTGCAATTTAAAAATATTTCTATTACGGGAATAAAAGTATTAAGTATTTGGTTATATTTTTCAGGGTTTTCCACGGGTAGACCATGGTTACCTTTGGCTCCAAGCCTCTGGTCAAGAAATGTAGAAAATGAGGCCTCTGAAGAAAACAAACGCTCGCACCTTCATGTTTATAAAAAGCTGGTACAGCTGAGAAAGACAAAAACTATGACCGAAGGGAGCTGCCTAGTCCAGACATCTGATGAGGGACTATTAATTATCACGAGGTAATGGTGACTAGTTAGGTTTGCATACTTGTATATGTTAGTATCTCTATAATCCGGCTGTTCATATCTAAAACTGCCAATAAAACCTATGAAGGGTCTTTGGTTCAGTACTATATAGGAAAGGTACTGTTTCTTGTTCAATGGTTGTGAAAGGAGGTGATTTGACCGAGATGAAGCTCAACCGCCAAGTTATCCTCCTTAATTAAGGGTGCCACTGTAAAGAGGCCACAGGGACGATCCACGGGTTATGAAACAGAATAAATAATTCATCTAGCATAAGCCGGGATTCGAACCTGGGATCTTGGACATTGGAAGCTAAGCGCCCTATCACCGAGCTACTGCACTTCGCTTTTAAGGGCGAAAAAATATATTGAAATCAAATGGTACTTTGTCTAATTGTGAGCCACATTTAACCTGTCAAGAATGGTATGTTGAGTTTTGTGCGGTCGATGTATAATAAAAGATTTGTAGTTGCGTACAAGACAGTCTAGCGTGATCAATTTTTAACAATCAAAATTGTGAAATTACATAAAGTTATGAGAAAAAAATGCTTGGTTTTTAGTACTTAGTAAATGTTTAGTACTTTTTTCTAATTGTAAGTTGTGCGATGTTGTCTTATAGATATTTAAGAAAGGGAAAAAGACAAGACCTGATTAAGTCATTCTTCAACAGTCATGCAGTTTAAGAATTACTTTGAAAGCTTGGTTTATAGAAGTGAAAATATGCGCATGCTTATTTCTGGCTAAATTCTTATGAAAAAAGAACGATTTTAGTGCTATTGTCTTTTGATTTTTTTTTTTTAAATGCGAAGAGCACTCAAAACTTTTTCATTCCTAAGGTTTAAAACTTGTATTATTATTTTTTTTTTTTAAATTAAAATTAAAATGTTGTTTATACTTTGAATATTTCTGTTTCAGGGTCCTAAGGGATAATCCAACAACGTTAACAGTTCTGAACCTAGGTGATTTTGAAATAACTGCCGATTTAACTACGTTCAGGAGAAGCCTACCCTCATCACTCGGGATTGTTGTCAGCAGTTACAATTTTCCAGCGACAGAAAAGTAATTCATTCTAATTATATATTATTATATATATATTTGGTAAAACAATTTTATGTTTTTACAGATATAAACATAATTAATGCTATAATAAATAACTAGCATACGTAGAGTGATTAATATAACTCACAGATGCTTATTAAAATAAGTAATATATAATCGTAGGATTATGTGACTTACTTATACAGAATTTTTAAAACCCCTCTTAAGTAAATTAACATAAATACGAAAATAAAATTTTTAATAGTGGAAACATTAAGGAAAAATGATAATCGATACGATTATTGTCGCATGTTCCTAAAGATTCAACCATTGGAATATATAAAGATTTAAAAAATATTTGGTTTTTATTTCGGTAAAAGAAGAGGTGTATTTGAATAAATTTAGAGCTTCAAACACCTGGAATATAAAATATTTTTAAGGAAATAACAGTTTAAAATTAGATAAACATCCTTACAAGATATATAAATTTATTATTTTATATACACATATAAGATATATATATTTTTTCCTCTTTCATAGTAATCCTATGCAGGAGTTTGTTTGCAAAAATTTACCTACACCATGCCAATTCGCATATTATATGGTCTACATACGAGTGTCTAACTCGGCTTCCTCGGGTAATGACGTCATCCCTCCCCCCAACAATATTAAATTTATTTCTTAAGCTATTTTAAATTATGTAATATTTGAATTTCATTATATTAGCTGCTTTATTGATAGGCTAAAATTAATTACGTAATTAATTAAAATTAAGTAACAATTTTGTTGTTTTTTTTTTGGTCGTCCCCTTCCTCGTCGTTAAGTCAATACGGGTTTTCCCGGGCCAGGGGTGTGGGCGGGGATTTAAAAGACGCCTCAGCACCCGGACGCGAACTCATGACTATTTTGGTATCATTTATCACATTCAGATTTCCGGGCAACGGTGGTGCTGTGCACAACGCGTTAGCCCATTCGGCCACCCTGCCCATTAATTTGTAACAATTGTCAAGCGCCCCTGAAGATCTGTCGGCGACCCCCAACGGACGCCCCTCCAAGTCGGCGTCCTAGGACAATTGCCACACTCTAAGACCGGCACTGTATATATAGTCAATTATCTTATAGTCAATTATATAAATAAATAGTATATAATCAAGAATACTACATAATTTATTTTTATATGTTTCAGGGTTAAAGCAACAAGCGTTTATCTACCCCCGAAGTCCGGAGTAGTTCTAATTACTTACGATTACTAAAGAAATTCATCTTCGCGTCTTAAGAACATATTAAATAAAGCATGTGAAAATGGATTAATTAAGAAGGCCATGTAAAAATGTATTTATTTTTTTTAGTTTATCGATACACATTAATTTGTATAAACATTATTATTAATGATACATGTTATCAAATAAATAGTTTTTTTTTTTAAATAGTTTGATAATACCCAAAGTGTGATTGAAGACAAATATATTTCTCAACAAAGAAAAAAAAACAACAGAATATGCTAGATATATCTCTTTTAATTCCAAACTCTTTGGTTACCCCAATCCTCTAGTTTGTAACCTTTCATCCAATAAAATTCCTGACTACCCACCGAGGCGTCTGAAAAGAAGATGGCCAAGAGACCTCCTAAATTAATTTATCTTTGAAGTGTTACCAATGGGTAGCTTCGTAAGTAAATTGATCAAGTTATGTATTCCTATAGCAGATTTACTAGTTATATATATATGTTTACAGTTGTAAATTTCAATTAAATAAAATAAAAAAATATTTCTGAATAATTTAACCCTTGTTTTATTTTCTGAACTTGACTGGTCAACATTTAGAACAGATCCATTTATCTTCATGACTCTTTCATCTTTTCTTGAAATTATTTTAATATTAGTTAATTACATAGGATATTATAATAATGAAATAATTACTATAGTTAAAGATAACTTGTTGGGGCGTTCAGTCGAAAATAAACAAATAAAAAAATAGATAGATTATTTATTCCTAAAGTCAAGCCCCGATGAAGGAGTGAACTTTGGGCCGAAACGTCGGCAAATATCAAAATAATTTTTTTTTTTTACTGAACACCCCAACCAACTTCTCTTCAGTTATTGAATACAGTCAAGCATCATACCACTATTAATTATTATAGTCAATTATTTAAATATTGGCTTAAATTGGCTGGACTCCATTTAATTTTCAAAAGATTTTAAAATATAAATTAATTAATATATAGGTATTAGACTTTCGGAACTTCAACATTGTTCTCTTTAAATATAATTTTTTTTTTAATAAATCACAATTTTGCTTATTTTATGGAAACAGTTTACTGTATGATTTACCACAAAATAGAATTATTTACAGGTATGCAAGTGTGAACGTGGACCAACGGTATTGACTTATTGATATTGTTATCAATTCGTTTCAAACCTGAAGGGTATTTTAATAGAAACACACTTTCTAAGTTATTTAAACCACTCTCAAAAATTATAATGCTTTGAGATATACTCCATGGTACAGACCCCTTTTTACCAAATTAATAACATCTGCCTAAAACTTCGTGAATAGCTTCAGCTCATCGTAACCTACATTTGTGTTAACGAACATTCTCGGAACAATCTGAAAATCGGCTATTTAATTACGTATTAAATACTCCTGAATACCCACTTCTTTTCCATTTGAATAAGATAATTTTCTCACAAAATCGAGAATAAACGAAGGCTGCAAAAATATTTTTGCATGACCTCCAATCCTAATATGTTAAAATAGGGAAGCTATATAGACCAAAGGGCCCAATATTTTTCTAGGCTTTTAGGAACATTTTTTTCTCGATTTTGTGATCAAATTATCTTACGGTTCAAGCGGTACATAAATAATCTATTGTAGTTATGAGTTTTTAGTACATAATTAAATTGATTAATTTAATGATAAAACGCCTCATTTTTCAGAATTTTTTAGAGTTACAAAAAGAAGAAGAAGCCATTGACAAAGTTTTAGGCGGATATTAATGATTTGACAAAATGGAGTCAGTACAACGGACTAATAATAGTTTATGATCAGCTAAAACTTTTATGTCATTGAATGAGAAATGAACATTTCCATAGAAATTAATTGGAACCTATAGAGAAAATATAACGAAAATGATTTTTTCTTACAAATGTTATATGCTTTAGGTTTGTATTTATAATTAAAGAAGTATCCTTAGGGTTTATTAACTTAAAAAAAAAAATAATTTTTACTTAAACTAGAGAGAAATTAAAAGTGTGGAATGCATCCTACCAGATGTTTTGGATATAGACTTATTGAAGTGAAGAAAATTTGAAGAATATTGAAAGTAAAATGTTATTGTATTCAGCGTTTCAAAACACCCATCGAAGTAATATATTCCATACAGGTACCCAACTACCCAATGGACAAAATTACATCGATGACAAATCATTAAATGTATTTTTTTTTTAACTTGTTTATTGAAAAATACTATAATCTGTCTTAAATGACATTTATAATAGTGTTCAGATATCACATTCTATGTACAATAAATAAAATAAATTGTACAGAAAAATAATATATACATATATATATATACGTATATAAGATAAGGACAGGAGTCGGGCAGTATCAGCCTTAATACCTTCCTGGTATGTAAACAAAGCTCTGAAATGTATATAAGAAGGATTACTTCACAAATAAAGCAGTATTGTTTCTGAAGCCGTGTGAGTCATTTAACAGCCCTTTTCTCCTTTTTTTTAATCGTTTTATTCCACAGTCGCATAAGTGGTGCCGAAACCCGGGACACTGTTATTGGCCAGTAAGTAGTGAACTATTTTTTTTCTACTCTTACTTTCTCAAGCAGGAAAATAGAATTAGAATGGCGACAGACGGAATTCCTAACCCGGGAATATCAATTGCTCCGGAAGTTCTTCAGGCTCCTGAAATTCCGCAGATTCAAGAAATCCCTCCGCTACACCAAGGGACACATTGGCGGAAGCACACGCCAACGCCTTGGAGTGGATGAAAGTAAGAGCAGCGACCACTCAGGATCTAAGGAGAGCTATAGCGGACTTGGAACGCTTCGGTGGAGAGGTAGGCGAACTGAATCATTTTCTGAAAGGTGGGGACCGTCTCATTTCCAGAATAGAGGCAAAGGTGGCCGAAGATTTGGTGAACTTGGGAGATGCCGAAGCATTGAAAGCAGCCTTGGTATGTAGAGTACGGAGAAGTGTTCTCAACCAGATACAGGCAGACGAAGATACATCATGGCCGGTGATCAAACAGAGGTTGAAGAAGGCTTTTGGGGGAGGCCGACGGACTCCAGAGGAGGACATCTTCCAGATGTTCAGGGAACGACGGTAACAACGACAGACAAACGGACAGTATGCGGGAGTACTATTGGCAAAGTGCAACCACATCACGGAGAAGATACGCGAAATGATGAGTGCAGGCGAAGTAGAAGCCAGGATGGAGTTTTTGTCAACTATCCTCAAGGTTCAACTGGCCAAGGAGACGGGAAAGAGGGACGGCTTACCAAGAGAGCGGTCGTTCCTAGAGTGTGCCCAGGAGATGGTCGACTTTAGCGCGAGGGAGGAAGAAAGTAGAATGGAGATAGAAGAAGCTGGATGGAACCGAGTGAACGAGAGACGCTTCAGGTCCGCACCGATAGGTTGGAAGAAAAGGGAGCCCGGATACGGAAACAGAGGAAGGACCACAACAGGAGAAAGAAAACCAGGACCACCCAGGCCACGAAATGGACTCCGTAAGGAAGAAAGGAAGTGTCATGGCTGTGGCAGGACGGGACACCTAGTGGCACAATGCCCCCGCACTAAATGTTTCGAATGCGGAACAGAAGGACACATTGTAAGGCAATGCCCGTACATGTTCAGAAGGTGGGAAACGGCACAAGATGAGCCGATGGGGGTCAATATGCATAAGGTGAGGAGGAACCCTAATACGACCCGGAGAAGTGAGCCTTCAGTGGAGGTAACGGAGATATCAGAGGCCTCGGAGACGAAGGAGGAAGGAGCACGCAGTGGAGCGGACAGAGACGAGCGGCAACAGGGAGGAGCAAGCAGGCGAGGATCTGAGGAGTGTGTCTTCAGAGCGGCGACCGCACAGCGACATGCAATAATATAAGAGGTAAGTCTTGCTGGTTGCCAATCATCACAATAAGAGGGGGAGTGAGGTGCTTGGTAGACACGGGAAGCACTAGCGCTATTATGACCCGTGGGGCACTAGAGAGGCTGTGTGGTAGTGATAGCGCAACCCGAATTCAGGGATGCGAGTGTAAATTAATTACCCTAGGAGGTGCGTGTAACGTGGAAGGAGAAGCGGTCGTTGAGTTAAACCATTGGGCAGGTAAGAAGGGGAATTTGAAAGTGCACATTGTTGGGAACATAACTCGGGAATACCAGGTGATAATAGGCTGCGACCTATTCGGACAAGTAGGGATTAGAGTCGAGTACAGGAATGGGACTTGGAGAATCAAGTTAGGAGGACAGAGGTACAGAAGTACGGAGAGCATAAGGGGTACGAAAGCGCGGATAGAGGCGGTAAATAGAGTCGAGGACTGGAGGAAGTCCATAAGAGTAGAATACGAGGATATCTTCTTCAAGGAGGGAGAGATACTAGGCGTAACGGGGAGGATAGTCCACGAAATACCACTAAAGCAGGAGCGGGTGTCATACGTAAAGGAGAGGCGATATCCACAAGAACTTAGACAGCATATCCGGGAAGAATTGGAGAGTTGAAAAAAGCAGGGTATAATAGTCAACAGCACCTCTCCATACAACAGTCTGTTGTGGGCGGTGAGAAAAAAAGGAGTGCCGGGCGAGACAGAAGAGAAGCACCGAGTGGTAATAGATTATCGGAAGCTGAATGAGAACACGATAGACGAAAAATATCCGATCCCGAGATTCTAAGACATATTGGACAGGCTGAGTGGGGCGGTGATATTTAGTACGCTGGACCTCAAAGCAGGTTATCACCAAATAAAGATGCACCCGAAGGATCAAATAAAACAGCATTCACATTCGAAAGGGGGCATTATGAGTTCACCCGGATGCCGTTCGGACTAAAGAATGCTCCGATAACCTTTCAGCGCTTAATGGATGAATTCTTGACAGGTTTGGATGAAACCGTATGCCAGGTCTATATGGACGACTTGCTGGTATTTAGCAAGACGGAAGGGGATCACGTAGAACACCAGCGAAACGTATTCGAGAGGTTGGACTAAAATTATTCAGAGAAAAATCACTACTAGAACAAGAGTGGATTAATTTTTTAGGCCACACAATTTCGAAGGACAGGGTTAGGCCGGACACGGAGAAAGTAGAGGCTATTAGGCGAATGGCGGTTCCGCGAGATGTTAAAGGAATCAGGAGGCTCCTCGGGACGCTTAATTATTATAGGAGATTTGTGCCGGAAATGGCAGAGTACCTGGTCCCGATCAATAATTTACTGAAAAAGGGGGCTAAGATGATCGTAACACCAGTAATGGAACAAAACATTAGGAAGTGTATGGACCGTTTACAAACAGAACCGGTATTAGCGTTTCCGGACTTCAGTAAGCAGTTCACGATTACCACGGATGCCAGCGAGTATGCGCTGGGAGCAGTACTGTCGCAGGATGGAGCAGGAGGAGACCGGCCCGTAGCATACGCGAGTAGACGTCTTACCGATGCTGAGACGAGATATAGCGCTTTGGAGAGGGAGTTGCTCGCGATAGTGTGGGCTATCGATCATTTTCGGCCTTACGTTTTCGGAAGAAAGTTCAGATTCCACACCGATCACAGGCCCC